CCCCCCCCCACACACACTTTGGGGTCTCTTATATATCTCAGGGGGCTTCAGTCTCATCTTTATTCACCAACCCCGGAGACACTCAGAGACATCAAAGCTGAGAAGAGGGAAGAAGAACATGTTAGGATTAAAGAAGAGGGCGTTTCTCCAAAGAGTGAGAGTTGGGAACCATCAACCTATTGGCATCCAGCTGTGCTCCCCATATAGTTTAAGTCATAGCAGTCACAGTGTTTACATCCTTTTATCTCTTTAGATCAGAGGGTAGCCAAACTCCGGCCCTCCAGCTGTGGTGGAACTACAAATGAGGCATTGCAAGATTCTCACAGACATGACTCCTGGAAAGAGATGCATTATTCTGACTCCGATCGTTGTGATAGCGAAATATATCCCTTGCTGAGACCTCTATGCCTGGCCTGTATAAGCAGATATACTCACTGTGTACAATCCTCGTCAGATAGCTGAAATCGTCAATACCGATTCATTCAAAAGAGGTGTTTACTCTTTAACATCAGGTTACAGCAGATGATAGGAACAGCAGTTGAACGGTTATAGTATTGTGCGGTCAGAAAATGATGCCTTTCCTCCGTACTGTGCAGATTACCTGTGTGTCCTTGTTACATGTGGCTTTCAACTGTGGCCATGACACAGGAAGTACTGCACACAGGAAGAAGGGTGGGGCTACATACAGAGAGGAAATACATCGTAGACATCACAAAGAATCACAGAAAAAACATGTACATTAAAACAAAAGGCCACTAGATGGCAGCATAGGATAACACATGGATTTAGCTATGAGAAAATAGTTAGGCAAATCACACTATATAAATTCTAACCTATATAACAATGCTAATATTAACTGAGGCTATGCATCTCATATTCTATGCCCCTATTGGGGCGGCACATGCATCATGGGATTTGTAGTTTCACCACAGCTGGAAGGCCAGAGTTTGGCTACCCCTGCTTTAGATAATGGCCCAGAAGATGAAGACATGAAAACAGGTCCTTCAGAAGAATACCCAATCAATGCAGAACTTTATCCTGAATTTCCAAGTGGGCATCCGTCATCTGATCCCTCTACACATGGCAGGAGTTTCCCTGATTACTCACATCCCTTCACCCATCATGCTCCTAGAGAGGGAGAATGGTTCCCACGTGAGTGTGGCAAGTGTTTTACTTGAAAATCAAGTCAGAATACTTACATGGGGGTGAAGCCTTATTCATGTTCAGAATGTGGTAAAAGTTACAACTAAAGCTCAGACCTCTTCATACACGAAAGAGCCCGCATAGGCGAGGGTCCCTTTGCTTGCTCTGAGTGTTGAAGAAGCTTCAACAAGAAGAACACCAGAGGTCACACACCAAAATGAAGCCATAGGCCTGTTCCAATTGTGGGAAGTCTTTTGTGACCAAGGCTCGTCTCTTCCATCACCAAAGAGTTCACAGCCAGGAGAAGATTGTTTCCTGAACGTGACACAGATCAGTCTCCATAGGCATCAGAGAATTCACACAGTGGTGAAGCCATACTCCTGTTTGCAGTGCAGGAAATCGTTTTCACAAAAGGCACCTCTAGTTGACTATGAAAGAAGGACCAGGGGGAAAAGATTTGATCTTGCTCATATTTGCGCAAGATTTTTGTGGGGAAGTCAGAGGTAGAGAAACCAGCTTATCCACACTGGACAGTAGGTGTTTCCTTGTTTACATTGTGAGAAATGTCTCATAAGCTGTCAGAGAAGTCCAGCAGGCAGTCATAGAACTGGTACTATGGGAGCCGTTGCGCATGCGCGTATGAGACGTTTTCATGCTGGTAATGCTCGTAATTGTGCGCATGTGTGCAGCCACTAATGCGCACGTTCACGCGCAACGGCACTCTCATTCCATCACGGTGCCAAAAGGCCTATTTAAACTTGTATCTTGCATGCACTCAGTGCTGAGACTCTGATCACCCAACCAACCAATCGATGACTCTGATCACCCAACCAACCAATGACCCAACCGATGACTCTGATCACCCAACCAACCAATGACCCAACCGATGACTCTGATCACCCAAGCGACCAATGACCCTACCGATGACTCTGATCACCCAACCAACCAACGACCCAACCGATTACTCTGATCACCCAACTAACCAATTACCCAACTGATGACTCTAATCACCCAACCAACCAATGACACAACCGATGACCCTGATCACCCAACCAACCGATGACTCTGATCACCCAACCAACCAATGAACCAACCGATGACTCCGATCACCCAACCAACCAATTAACCAAACTGATGACTCTGATCACCCAACCAACCAATTAACCAAACTGATGACTCTGATCACCCAACCAACCAATGACCCAATTGATGACTCTGATCACCCAACCAACCAATGACCCAACCGATGACTCTGATCACCCAACCAACCAATGACCCAACCGATGACTCTGATCACCCAACCAACCAATGACCCAACCGATGACTCTGATCACCCAAGCGACCAATGACCCTACCGATGACTCTGATCACCCAACCAACCAACGACCCAACCGATTACTCTGATCACCCAACTAACCAATTACCCAACTGATGACTCTAATCACCCAACCAACCAATGACACAACCGATGACCCTGATCACCCAACCAACCGATGACTCTGATCACCCAACCAACCAATGAACCAACCGATGACTCCGATCACCCAACCAACCAATTAACCAAACTGATGACTCTGATCACCCAACCAACCAATTAACCAAACTGATGACTCTGATCACCCAAC